AAGAAAACTGCGGCTGAGGCTCATCGAATGATCTCAAATACTTATGGTGAGGCCGCTATTAGTGAAAGAACGTGTCGTGAGTGGTTTCAACGCTTCAAGAACGGTGATTTTGACGTCCAAGGTCATGCTCTGTATTTGGTGGGATCAGCTCGGCGTAGTGTATTATGAACTGTTAAAACCGACTGAAACAATCACAGGCGATTGGTATCGAACGCAATTGATGCGTTTGAGCTGAGCATTGAAAGACAAACGGCCGCAATACAACGAGAGACACGATAAAGATTTTGCAGCATGACAATGCTCGACCCCATGTTGCGAAAGTGGTCAAGCCATACTTGGAAACGTTGAAATGGGAAGTTCTACCCCACCCGCCGTATTCTCTCCAGACGTTGCTCCCTCTGACTATCACTTGTTTCGATCAATGGCACACGGTCTGGCTGACCAGCACTTCCGGTCTTATGAAGAAATAAAAAATTGGATCGATTCGTGGATAGTCTCAAAAGATGGCCAGTTTTTTCGACGTGGGATTCGTACGCTACCCGAAAGATGGGAGGAAGTAGTGACCAGCGATGGACAATACTTTGAATCATAAATGTATAACATTTTTTATAATAAAGCCTCGAATTTCGGAAAAAAAAACGACGGAAGCAAAGTTGTACATCTAATATATATATATGTGTGTGTGTTTATAAATATTTATGCATCTTTATATATGTTTGTACATATATTTATATTTAAAGCCAGTTAATTTAATCGGTTGACTAACCAATTGCGTTTACTGTTTAGTAGAAATGACCAATTGCGGTTGACATCCAACAAATGAGAATGGATTGAAATGAATTGAAATGAATTGAAATGGATTCAGATTTTCAGAAATATTGATTCTCGAAGATTAAAATGAATGCTTTTCAATCCTGAATGCATTTTATTCATTTATAGGAATTACAGGAACATATCTCTATGCCTTTCAATCTAAAAATATTAGCTTTTTTGTGCACACACACACACATTGTGAATACCGTTCAATTCAAAATTCTGAAAGGAAATGTAGTTTTTCAATCCAATTGCACTCAGTTGAATCTAATTGAATCCAATTGAATCCAATTAAATAAAAAAAAAGCTTCGCTATTTAAAATACGCATTCGAATAGAAAAAAATTTCAATCCATTTTAATCCATTCTCGTTTGAACAATTAATCACAATAAGCTTGGTGAAACCAGTTCTTATATATGAAATATATTCATATTTATATTTATGAATTTTTTATCTGGATTAATAATTATCGTATACAAAGTGAACCAACTTTTTATCCTATGAAAAACTTATCGACTTCATACCTAATTGATTATAATGTATCTGCAGTCGATAATTTCTGGTTCACCTTGTATAAGTTTTAATTGTAGCTTAAACTTCAAGATTTCTTAAAAAACAGTATATAATATTTATTCCAAGCATTAAAATTATTTTTTATCCGTTTAGTTCCGTTTCTCTATGCACAAAGGAAAAAACTAGCGCTAATACGCACATGTGATACGCTGCGTTCCATGCGGTCCATGCATGAAACAGAATGCACCCAAAATATTGATCGGACTCTTACTTCTAGAAATTCTATTTTTGGGTTTGACAACAAATCTCAGGGATGTCTGGGATCAGTATGCTCGCCAAAGAAACCTCACAATCACAAGCCCTTCTAAGTGCAACTATGTTGGCAAAATCGGTTGGCGAGACAGGCTATAAAAAAGAAGAAGAAGAAGAAGAAGAAGCAAAATTGGATAGAAGGATGAAATCCCAAAAAGATTTTCGCCAATTGATGTTGTATTGCTTCCAGCAAGGTTTCACAGCTTCGCAAACTATGATTGAGCTATACTCTGTCTTTGGAAAAACCTGTGTCACTCTCCACACAATTTGGAGATGGTATCGAAAATTCAGAACTGGTGATTTCAATGTAGAAGATCTTCCTCGCTCTGGTCGACCTCAAGAATTTGATGTAACACTTCTCAAGGACATCATGCACAAAAATCCGCAAATGACCGTTAAAGAACTCGCCGCCACTCTGCATAAGTCCGCTTCCACAGTGCAAATCTACCTGAAGAAGCTGGGTAAATAGTAGATAAGAGGTCTGTTTTTTATTTCTGCTCTTCATGAATTTAAGAATACTGTGCAACAAGTTGAAGTGAAACAAAACATATATTTGTGCAGGAATAAAAAATTGACCTAATGTATTGTGTGCTGAATTTATATAGTAGATTTGAAACGAATTTTCCAAACTACCTAATATATGAAAAAATATTTCTCATCCAATCTTGTATTGAAAATTATAATAACCCATGTCTTTCTTTAATTTCAAATCTAATATTTTTGATTTTAATACACCTAATTTCTTAGTGCTGCAAACTGTTCATATTGAATTGAATACTTAGAAATCATCGACCGCAGTCCATAAAAAAAATTTCTCGAATTTTTCCATCTCTGAATAATTCATTATTCCTTCATTTTAGTTTTCTCTTCATTCTGAAGAGCATATTGAATTCCATGAAGTGAGAGAGAAGATCCGAACTTTGTTGAGATGAAAGTGTGTTCTCGTAAGAACTTGTGATTAAAATGCTTATAACAAGTTTTATGAGAACAAGTTACGAACCAGATGATTTTGCTTAACCTTAATAAGCTTATCAACTGTCCATTTTGACTCAAACTGTCGAGTTTTTCAAAAGTCTTGTCTAGTCTATTCAGTTGACAAACTGGATATTACATATTCAATTCTCAAATATATCCAATTAATAAAATGAAATTTATATCATGAAAGAAAATTTATGAATTTTTGATTTTCAATGATTTTTCCGTTTTAAATATCCTACAACTTTATTACTAAAATACTTTTATTAATTAATTAGTAATGTTTTCCTATACTCGTTCGAAGATATATATTTTATTTAAATATATTAAATATATTTAAATTTTTTTTATATTTAAATTAAAACGGTTTTTTATTTTAACATCGTTAAACGTATTAAATGATTTAACAAAGTATTTATAACAAATGTTACATATTACATATAAAGTTTAATTATGTTGTTCAATAATATGTATTTTTAAATAAAAGTGATTAATTATTTTATACAACTACTTTTAATTATTTCTAATTTTATTTAAAAAATGACATTATAAGCAATTTTTTATAAAATTGTATATTTGATCTAGTTTTATGATTATCATTTTCGTCGGGGTTTTTTCTTGGTTGGATTTTGTTTGCAAACAGTACTGCCACATCAAAAAGTCTAAATTATTATCTTAGTAATTTAAATTTTTTAATATGGCAGCCCTTTTTGTTAGCTAATTGGGGAGGGGAGTCTGTCGAAGGGTATAGTTGGGCGCCATTTGCAATTAACCTTACTCAATTGAGGTCTGGTCGTACATATCTCAATTCGTTTACCTGTGCATTTAGATCGTAAAATGTCGTGTTGGATACGTGGTTGTCCCACCAAAAGTGGATTAATGAAGAGGAGCCTTTTTACACCTTATTCGGATGAAATATTCAACAAATGGAAGGATAGTGGAATTGCTAAAAAAGGCGTCAATAAATTTACCAAAAAAAGTCGCGTCTGCGAGTTACATTTTCAAAAAGATGACGTTATCCGAGTAGATACTTTTAAGATAGAGGGTAGTGAAGATTTTTTGGTGCCACGTAAGGTACCGAAGTTGAGGAAAGGTGCTATTCCATCAATTTTTCCACCGGTCAGACATTATCATATAAATTCCATTGACGAGCAGATAAATTACTATCGTATAAACATCATTAACAAGCAGAATCAGAAAAAACAGCAGACTGGAGAAACGAGCGTTGTAGCTCACTTAACGAGTACGTTTAATTGTTTCGTTTTTGTTTGGCTATCTTTTTTCTTTTTCTTTTAATTTTCCTATCTACTACGAAAGGTCACAGTATCATGCGATGATAAATTTGCACATACTCTCCGGGGAAAGCAGAGGACATGCTTTCGTATAGAAATCACGAATAGTATGCCTTCTATATAAAGTTAGTCTTTTCTGTACTAGCATTTAACTTGTAGATTCATAAATAGAACGATGTTCTTGCTCTTTAAACAAACCTGGATTGTTAGTCATTGTTAGTCCGTGGATCGAGCCCAAGTCCGGAACCTCATTCAGTGCCTGTCTCATACATACTATCTCACACACTGCTTTGCAAATGGCGTCCATTCGCGAAAATCCTGTTCCTTTCAGCGGACTCCCTCCCATTAACGAATCACTTTTTTATTCGCGCGTTATCGAGTTCGGAATAGTTCGGATTCTTTCTCTCTTTATACTGAATTCTTTCTTTGTTGCGTTGTCTTCGTCATCTGATTCCTTCTCTTTCGTTGCATTTGTTTTTTTTTCTCGAATCGATCTCGAAGATTTATTCGAAAATGTGTCGAAAAAATGAAAATATTGAATTTGTATGAAATTATACGTAACAAGTAATTTTATGTATTCGAAAAAAATATAAATTCACATATTTTTTGTTATATCTAAAAAAATTAATTAAGATATAAAAATTAACAAGAGAGAAAGTTTTTTTTTCTCGATCAAGCTGGATCTTAAGTGTCAATTATTTTAATTGTATACCGAATTGATTTTTCAGGCTTCAAACGCAAACTCGATTGAACTGTAATAGTAACAAATTGCCTAGCAATTTAATAATTTGATGCTCATAGATCTTATAAAACTCTTAATGTTGAATAATAACATATTAAAATTTATAAATAATCTTGTCGCAAAAATATCTCGGCCGGGATTGACCATCGAAAAATCATTCTCCGTAACACCCCGGGAAAAAAATATTGTATATATAATTATGTATAAAATTATATAAAAATATATATAATTTTATATAATTATATATAAAATATTTTTTCCCAGGGCTTGTTTTATGTACAGGTAAAAATCTATTTTTAGGGCCTTGACTCTTCAATATTTCTTCAGTGTCTTTTGAAACAAATTATAATCGTTTAAATATAAACTTTCATCGCATAATGTTTCTTTAATGATGTTATGTTTTAAAGTATTTATACTCTGATTATGCAAATCAACAACAAACTCAAACATATCTCTAAATTTCAAGATATATCAATTTCAAAATATATCGTTATATAAAATCTAAATATAAAAAAAACAAAGTATTTTATATATTTATGATATTAAATCACATAATAAAATTTGACATAAATAAATTTAAGAAAAAAAAAGGAAACTTCCGTATCACGTAATAAGAAAAATTATAGATCGTGGCAACGTCGCATTTTTGGAGCAGATGAATCGGCACAAGAGGTTATCTGACAAAAATATTTATACGAAAGAAAAATGTCCGCACAGCTGCGTTATAAAGGAAGATACATCAAAAGTAAAGTTTTAGCAAAAAAAAAAAGTGTAAAGCAACTTTCGCGAAGATACGACAAGAAAGGCATAATTTCTCTTTTGATGAGAAACAAGATATCGGATCCACGTGATGGTAATTGCATTGTGAACTTGAAAGTGCTCAGAAAGTGCGACGTTGCCATACTTATTAGATTTCTTCAGGGCTATTCTTCAGATTCTCAAATGCCACCCAGATATCACTCCATCCTTATTGTTTACCGAATGTTAAATAAGGATGACATTAGATCTGTTTTTTGTTACACTCTGAATCGGTGCAATAAGTTTAAATAAAATAAATATACGTTTGTTTCACTTTATTTTGCACTATGTGTACCAATTTAAAAAGTACAACAATAAAAAACAGACCTATTTAATCCGGGGAGCATCCGAGTAGGAATCCAAACATTTCTTAGGATATCATGTAATTTTTTTCTTGGAGCGAAAACGTGAAAAGTGAAAATTTTTTCTATGTATATATACATACATACAATATATATGTACATACATATGCGCATACATATATATGCGCATCACAATTTTTATTTTTCATGTTTTCACTCTAGAGAAAAAGTTACGTAACGATAACCAGTTCTTAATAAAATGTATAAAATCAAGATTTTTTTATTGACTCAAACTTTAATATCGTGCGATAAATATTTGCGATATTGTTACACGTGCTTCCTCACAAATTTAACTATTCGAGACTCGTTTTTCATTAACTTCTTGAATGTGATTTCGAAGCTATATGAAAATTCGTGTCGCATCACAGCAAAAATGATATACTGGTTCAGTAGAAAAAGTAGTTTTGCAACTGTTTTAAAAATTCTTTAATATAATTGATATTTTGCTCTTCTCGGTAAAAAATTGTTCATAAATGTATAAACATACATAAATATTCATAAACATGTCATATTTCATATATGAACATATTTATGAATATTTATGCATGTTTATACATGTTTATACATATTTATGGATGAAAAATTTTTACATATTTATACGTGAATGAAAAATTTTTTACCAGGTTAATTTGATTCTTACTGAATCTAAATGTATAAAACCAATCATATTTAATGTAAATCATGATAAATACGGAAAATTTACAATGTTTAATATTCGGTTATATATTAGAAATGGGACGCTAATTCAAATTCATCTTTTATAGACATATATATTAAAAAAATCTAAAGTACTCGAGACGAAAGTTTCAAAACATTCTTGAATAATGCATTTTGAGTATAATCTTTCAACCTTTCAAATTTTCAATCTTTTTCTACAGTGTTTTTTATACGCTGACTATTCCCGTTATGAAAAAGCGCGCTGAACAGGAGTCAGAAGCTAAAAATTGATCAATCACAGTCGTCAATTTTTAGGTTCTGACTTCTGATTTATGACTAATGGCTTATTATAGAAGGCCCATTAACTTCAGCAGCGTTAAACTTATCACTTTGTTTTATGTATTCACACATCATAATAACATATCAATTTTCAGCAGATTTGTTGAGTCAGCCTTCACAAAACATGATTTTAAAATATTTGGCATTCTTAGAACTGATTGTACCGCCGTTACTTTAACTTTAAACGAGGCTTGAATTTTTCATTTTCTCTCTTTAAAGCCGAGAAAGAAAAAAGAAGAGTTTTAAAGCTTAAAATCAAAGTAACGATGGTACAATCATACTTTATGCGCTTCGAAAATTTCGTTAAAAAATATGGACTGTCAATGCGTAATAACAAATAAAAACGGAAGGCTTGCGCGAAGACGAAACAATCCTGTGATGTCATATAAACAAATCTACTAATAGTGTAACGTTTTCTTCTGTTTGAATTTTCAAAAATTTTCAACTTTATTAATAAATAAATATAAATAAATATAAATTAAACTATTTCATTATTGGACAGTTCATAATGCTTAAATCAATCGAATTTAGAAATTTCGAAATTTACTTGAAGACTGAATTTCTCTCTTTTTATTAAGTTCAATTTATACTACAAACCCCATTTCTCAAATTTAATTTTCTTTTCGAGAGATTAGCCAAAGATGCACTAAAAAAAACTTAAGAGTATCAGTACTACACGACTTTCTGAACTTATTTCCTTTCTTATTTCCAACGATATTAATTATTTTTGTATTTTAATTTTTCGATTTTAGCTTCAACCTTTCTTAATTCATTTATTCTCTTAATTTATTTATCCTTGCGATATATAAGCATATACAGGATGAGTAAAAAATCTCGGAGCGCTGAAATATCTCAAAAACAAAGCATTTTCGGGAAAAATGATTCAGACAAAAATTGTAGAGATTTTTAAAAAGATCTATTTACTGATCACATCTGTTTGACATTGGCTGGCATCGCCAAGATTATATCGATTTTTTTAAATGGGATCATGATGAAAATTTTTCTCATAATTTTTATATGAATTGGAATATTTTTTAGAAATATTCAAAAATATTCGAAAAGTTTACATCTTCTCTCAGAATTTTTTGTACAAGTGAATTCTGAAATATTTTGAAATTTCTCATCCTATAATTTAAAAAAAATATTTTTAGATTTTATTTCATCAGAAATTATACTTACAAAAAAATATTATACTTGCCATATTTTATAATTAACATATATGAAAAATTCTGGGAAAAGATATAGATTTTATGAGAAATGTTCCAATCTGTATAAAAAATGTGAGAAAATTATAAAATTATATAGAAATTCTGAAATTATATGAAAAATTCTGAGAAAAATTTTCACCAGAGATACCTTGTTTTTGGTTCCAGAGTTTTTTGATTCTAATAGCTGATGTCAAGAGCTTTTCACACTACAATAAAGTTCATTTTCATTACGTAGGAGAGACTGGAGACTGGAGCTAATAGATTATAGAGGTAGATAGACTAATCAGGGCTACGTTATTAAAAGGGGAAAAAAACATGCAAAAATAGCGTAAATAGTTGTATTCAGCAGAAAAAGCAGTTTTGCAACTGTTGTAAAATTCTTTAATATGATTGATTTTTCCCTTAATTTCTCACTGGATTTAAATATATTAACCAATTATATTCAAGAATTTTACAACAGTTGCAAAGCTGCTTTTTCTGCTGAACGCAGCCATATATCTGAGCACGCAACATTCAACAACTACTGCCACGCCACTCAGTCTGCTGTGATATTTCCGTACGGATGCATCTGTGACAGAAGTTAGGTTACAATTTAAAAAAATTGTACATGTAAGTAAATGTTTTTATTCTTGAAATTTTGTTTACGATCACATATCAATGTCTGAGATATTTCATTTTTGTTTAGATAGTAAGTTTACTAAAGTCCAATAGATTATTTTTGTTTATCTGTCTTTGTTATTATATACTGTTATTTTTAGAAAATTAATGGATGGGGATAGTAAACTCAGGATGGGGCTATATGACTCATTAACGACGACTCTTATAATATCTACTTTCTAAATTTCTTGGATTGAAATCTCATTCTAAAAGAGTCAAAATACAGCCACTTTTGAAAAAGAGTGAAAACTTTTTACTCTTTTTGAAAAATAATGGCAATATTTCACTTCTTTAAACAGATCTATCTCAGTAAATATTCAGTTTAGTCCTCTCATGTCCATTGATGAAACTAGATTCATTTGACGTGTTTTTGCACGAAATGAACAAAAAAGCGTCGCTCTGCCCCGCGAAGCAAGATATTAGTTAAAGTTGTTAGATTAGGTTAGGAAATCTCATTCACTGCGATTTTATTCCAAAAAAGGAGTAGAATGTTTCACTCCTTTTTAATGTGAGATTTCATTTCTTTTTCAAGGAGTAAAATATGATTTTCACTCTCTTTGAGGTATTACTCAAAAGAATTTAGAGAGTATTTTATTTTTATTTTAAATACACATTATAGATCTTTTTTTTTTAAATACACCTAATGCAATAATTTTTATAATTTAATAATAATTTTAATTTTAATAATAAAATTTTAATAATAAAAATATGTAATAATTAAATTATACATATAATATTATTATAAATATTGTAATGTTAATTTAATTACAGAAAATCATGAGGACATACAAGAGAAAGACAAATAAGGGAAATATTCCGAAGAACATTATAGAATTTGCGTGTAAAGAAGTAATTTTAGAAGGAAAAAGTGTTCGTTCTTCAGCAGCGAAATATAATATCTCATTTAAAACCTTGCACCGATATGTTAATAAATTAAAAGCTGTAGGAAAAGACGTTAGTCAAATATCAAATATTCAATTTACTCATGTAGGTTACGGCAAAAGTCATCAAATTTTGAATGATACGGAAGAAATTGCTTTAGTGGAATATATTAAAAGAATAGCAGATATTTATTATGATATAACACCCAAAGAAGTAAGGAAATTGGCTTATCAATTTGCAATAAAAAACGGAAATAAAGTACGAGATTCTTGGAATGAAAACAAAATAGCAGGTGAAGATTGGTTCAGAGGTTTCCTTAAACGCAATAACAATTTATCAATAAGATTAAAAACTACAAGTCTCTCTAGAGCGAAGTCATTTAACAAACATAATGTTAATTTATTTTTCACAAATTTGAAAACAATCTGTAATTGTCTAAGAGTGAAGCCATCCGATATCTGGAATATGGATGAGATAGGGATTAATACTGTTCACACTCCTGATCGTGTAATTGCACGTCGTGAGATGAAACAATTAGGAAAGATAATTTCAACCGAAAAAGAAACTCTCGTTACCATGGCAGTTGCAGTTTCAGCTATTGGAAATATGATCCCACCATTTTTTATATTTCCAAAAGCTCATTACAAAGATCATTTTATACAAGAAGGCCCTCTTGGATCTGCAGGTGATGTTAATCCATTTGGTTGGATGGAAGAAGAACATTTTATAAAATATTGTCAACACTTTGTTCATCATGTTAAACCATCTAAAGAGAAGCCTGTTCTTCTTTTACTTGACAATCATGAATCTCACCTTTCTATTGAGGCGCTGGATTATTTGAAAGAGAATGGAATTATAGTTTTATCATTCCCTTATAATTGCAGTCATAAGTTGCAGCCGCTAGATAGATCTGTATATGAACCTTTGAAAAATTACATCAACACAGCATGTGACAACTGGCTAGCTAGTAATCCAGGAAAATCTTTATCTCTATATCACATTTCAGAAATAATAAAAATTGCATTACCTCTGGCAACAACTTCAATAAATATTCAAGCAGGTTTCCGCATTTCAGGAATATTTCCTTTAAATGAAAATATATTTCCTGATACTGAATTCTTAGAATCTAATGTGATCGACAAAGAAGATACTTCTATTATTATCAAAGCTGAGAACGATGAACTTTTTTCTGTCCAGGAAAATGTCGATTTTTTATCTATCAAGAAAAATATCAGTCCATCTTCGGTATATCAGGATATAAGACATCTGCCAAAAGTGGAACTGTATCAAGAAAAAAAAAGAACTTGTAAACGAACTAATGCAATATATATAGACTCGCTAGAAAAAGATGCTCTCATGGAGCAAAAGCTCGATTGTTCAAGAAAAAAAAATAGAATTAGCCAGGAAGAAACGGAAATCGAACAAAAAAGCAAGACAATAAGAAAAGAAAAAAGTAAGGAAAATCCAAGTAAAAGAAAACTTCTTTGATTGAAAAGTCATAAAGCAGAAGAATTTTAATAAAATAAATTCTTCATCCCCTCGAATGAGACAAATATAAGACAATGAAATGTATTCCCTATATATAGTAAAAATGTATTCCGTATATATAGTAATGTAAAATTCATTTTTTCAATAAGTCTTAATTTTATCTGTAAAAATTCGAAACTGAAAAATAAATCTATTAGCTCCGCTATTTATAAGGTCCAGTTATAAGGCTTGAAAATGAACTTTATTGTAGTGTTTTAAAAAGCTCTTGACATCATAGATTCTGGAATCAAAAATAGAATGTCCCAATTAAAAAAATCAATGTGCCTTGATCTGATCTTGGCCATCCAAAGTCATGCAGATGTGATCAGTAAATAGATCTTTTTAAACTTTACAACTTTCGTCTAAAGCGTTTTTCTCAAAAACTGCTTTGTTTTCGAGATATTTCATCGATCCGAGACTTTTCAGTTACCCTATTTAAATTAATTCTCATGTTCTCTTCTTCTTAGTAACATTATTATTTTTGTCTTGTATAGGTAAGAACAAGATAAATTCTGATAAGGATGTTAAAGTTAAAAGAGATTCGTATGCTGATGAGACGATGAAGGATGACAGCAGAATACAGGGATTCAAAAGAGAATTGGAAGCAGATAAGATTCTTGGCTCGGCAGATGACAATGGAAAGCTAATGTATTTAATGCAATGGTAAGTAATACATCCTAGTAGTTATTACGTTTAATATCATCACATGCCTTGGTAATCGAATTGATAAGATTGATGTCTACATAGAATGAAAGAAATTAAAGTTCAAATCCTGGCAGAGATGATTTTTTTCAATAAATTCTTTATATTATTTAAAGATATTAATTCGCATTACTAATATGAAATTGCATGTCGATATAATTTGTAATATTACATAGACCAGCCTCAATTTACTAGTGTATTAAGACCTACAGATAATCAGCGCACAATTTGCTTGAACTGGAAATTGTAAAAATTTACACAAAAATATTAATTAGACACCAAGACTCGTCTTGAGTGAATGTGACTCATTTGTATTGATACATCTATTTTTAATGTCAAATGCATATTTAAAAAGTAGTACAAATAAATAAAGAATTCAAGTTAATTTAAAAACCGAATTTAAAAACCGATTGAAGCTGAATGATAAATAAAAATAATTTTGTGCAGGAAAGGAACAGATGCAGTTGACATGGTATCTGCCAGTGAAGCCAATGCCAAGTGCCCCCAAATTGTTATCCGATTTTATGAGGAGAGAATAACTTGGAAAAGAGCAAAAGTAAAACCATAATAGATGAACTTCCTGGAAAAAGTCAAACTCCACATTTTTTGAGAAATTGACTTTTATTGTGACCTTGTACGCGGTTAAAGTCTCATTACAAATGTTTTGAATTTGATTGATCATTAGAAGAAAGAATTTTATTAATGGTTAAAGAAAAAAATAACTATAGAGGACACATCTTTCTTGTCGCAGTTTATATGTTTTTATATGTGCAATTATTTTGCATGAAATATAGATTGGAAAAGATAATTCAAAATTAATATTTTTTTAAAATAAAAAATCCATGCTCAGATGAAAATAAAGTAATAAATATACCTTCAAAATCTATATTAATGTTTTCGCTAATTTCAAATTTGCATTCATATAATTGATCAATTTTCAATGGCCGATCCAAAATGGCAATCAAAATGACTATCAGGCGTATTTTGATAATTATGAAATATAAATTCTTAATATTCTTAATTCTTTGTATTCTTAATATTTTTAATATTTTTAATAAATTTTTAATATTTTTATATATAAAATTTTACACATAGATATGTGCATGTATAAGCCAGAGTTAATTTTTTTTTCAATTTAGCTGCCATCTTGAATTCATTATTTTGATTTTTTTTAATTTTGACCTAAGATTTTTAATCAGCGACCTTAAAAATTCCTATGTACTAAAATTCAGTTAAATACATTCAATAAAAAAATTTGCGCAACAAAAAGGATTAATCTGAGATTAATATTACAAAGTCAATTTTCTATGATTTAAGATCCTACGACTTTTATTAAACTCCGCATAACGCATTTGTAATATCATTAACCGTATATACTCTTTATAATGTATATTGTAAATATCTTTGAAGTGTGATTACTCTATTTTATTCTAAACAAAATAAATGTTCCTATCGGGCTCAAAACGATGTCTATTATTTATTTTAGATTATGAGAATAATATTTGTTTCTGTTATTTACACATTTATATTATTTTTTGATTCATAGCCTTTCTTAACACGTATTTTTAATTTTTATTGTTGAACCATATTACATGATGTATTCAAAATAAATGTGTTCTTTTTTTAATATTGTTTATTTAATCTCTGTCTCATAATAATCTACTTGCAATGTAGGTAGTATCTCTATACATTTTTTGTGTATCTAATCTGTATCAGAGGTACATTCAAATTCGAGTATCTGTATCTAGATAAAAAAAAAGCATCTAAACTCACTAATTTTCAGATGCATTTTTCAGATTTACATTCCCTTAGCATAATCATAATTCCATTTTATGTGTGATTGTTGATTGATTTGCAGCTTTGCTGCAAAATTCTATAACATGATTCTTCTATAACATGAATCTTTCGCTTCCCAGCAAACGAAAATGGATTGAAATGGATTGGAAATTTTCAATTCATCCGAATCCGTATTTTAAATCCATAAAAATGAATTGGATTCCATATAAAAAAAATTTTTATATATGTAAAAGTTTAAATAAATTAAAGTAGTAAATTAAATAAATTAAATGAAATTCTATAGTTATTATTTTAAAACTTTTATACAAAAAATATACTGTATAATAAAGGAAACGTATTAAATATAAAATAATCATAAAAGCAATTAATTTATTAATTAAAAATAAGGAATTTACATATGTAACATGTATACATATTTATTCATGATATATTTTTATGGTACAACTTTTTTTTAACTCAATTGAATTAAAACGAAAAATTTCTTTATAATTCTATCTTATTTATAATTTTCTATCCTATTATATATTTTATCCTATTTATAATTCTGAATTCACATGTACCAAAATTTCTAATGTATGTCCAGACTTTTCAAACAAAAATCGAAAATCATAGAAATATACTTTGAAGAAATATACTTTGAGATTGAAAACCATGGAAATATACTCCATTCTTATAAATGAATAAAAATGCATTCAAGATTGAAAAGGAATAGATATTTGTTTCAAGCAATTCCTATAAATGAATAAAAATGCATTCAGGATTGAAAAGCATTCATTTATAGGAATATTGTTCAATTTTGAATAAGGAAATGCAATCCAATTGCATTTAATTGAATCTAATTGAATCCAATTGAATCCAAAAAAAGTATTCGCTATTTAAAATACATATTCGGATAGAAAAAAATTTTAATCCATTTTAATTCATTCTCGTTTGCTGGGTAGCAATATATTTTTTCTTGTATGTGTGTGTACAATAAAAAACTTATTTTTAGAAAAATATTTTCAAATAGTATCTTGTCGGAAGGAAAGAATATGATAAATCTAAATTAATGTAAAAGCCTGTACAGCATACAAAATATTGCAGTAACATCGCAAAAATATTTCAAAATATTACTGCAATATTTCAGCAACATTGCAGCAACGTAAAAATGTCCGTTTTAAAAATATTGATACGTTGCAGCAATATTACAACATAATATATATGCAATGTTAGGTTTTGGAGGAATACTTGCAGAAATGCATTGTAATAACAACTTTGCTGTAATATTGTATTAACGTTATTGCAATATTTATTATAAGACTTTGTACTATATAAATATTAAAAAAATAGAAATAGGAGTTAATTCATTGTAACATACAATGAATATAAATAAAATATGATTCATAATTAATTATGTCTTTATATTTTATAGGCATGTTCCGACATACACTGCCAGTACTGAAAATCTACAATATATGTAACGTGAATTATAAATTTTCAGTATTGACTATGCATGTCGGAACACGACCTATACATCTTATATCTTATTATTGTGTCCATTGTACATTATATTTAATCCTTACTTCTAATTGTTTTATGTCTATAAATTAAAAACACAATTCCTATAAATTATAAATATTGACTGCGTTTACACTTTATGTCCATTTTCATTAATGTAGATTAATTTTAATCTCGTTTCAACTTACTCTTCATCATTTTTTAATCTTTAGAACAGAAAAAGACGAAGATAAGTTGAACTGAGATTAAAATTAATCTATATTGGTAGAAATGGACATTAATCAGGTTTAATAATATTTGTAGTTAGAAACTAACCAGTCATTCTATTTTTCAGAAGAATATAATTTAGAATATAGTGAGATTAGTCAGTTTCATAACTATAGATGTTATGAAACCCGATTAAATGTGCCATGTAAACGTGACCATTAATCCATTCCTATTCTTCCATTATGTCCAAGTCCTTACTTTATTGGGTTGTACAAATCAATATATACAAGTCTTAACACTGAAAGTGAGTTTTCTAGCAGAGACACAAATCAATACAATGATAAGAGTCATTATGTCTTTGTTTTTGACTAATTTTTGAACAAGGACAGGATGACTCTTGTGTCAATTTGTGTATCTGCTGGAAATATTTTTAAAATACTGTTGCAACATTGCTGAAGTAATATTGCAAAAAAGTCTTCGCAATGTTTCTACAAAATTGTATTGCAATATTGATGCAATATTGAAATGTTGCAACAATGTTGCTATAAGTTTCTGTGCTGTACGGGAGTGAGATATCTCAATTGATAAAATGCTCAATATTTATCAAAGAGCATAATAATGTACTGAATATGTCATGATTAATTCATTTTTAAATTTTTATTAAACATACAACTTTATTGATTTGTATCCAAATTTTAAAGCGCACAGTGCACTAGTTCTGCCAATGAAAAACTATTAGGGCTGTGTTCCGTTTCACGTATGATGCGCATGCTGCATTATTTATCCTTCTTATTCATCGAATGTTAAACAAGGATAAATAAAGGCTCATGCGCACCATACGTGAAACGGAATGCAGCCTAGATCGCAGTAATTGTAACTGACAACATGTCAGAACATATCGCGAGTTTTTTTGATTGGAGTAGACAATCGGTGTAAAAGATACATAATTATTGCAGATAAAGAAGGTATTTTAAATTTTAACCAATTTTAATTTATTATTTTCTTATTGTAGCGTTTTTTGTTAATTCGATCCGACTTCGATGATGTTTTTATATTTGTTCTACAATAATTGGAAACGTAGTTGTAATTGGAAGAATTGACGATAATTATTTAGAATACAAACTACATCTCTAATTTTTATGAAATTAGGTTCATTCGACGCGTTTTTGTTCGAAACGAAAGAAAAGCGTCGCTCTGCCCTCTGAACCGAGATATTAAGCGTTGAAGTTGAGTCTTTAGGTTAGGAAATCTGTCATTCTGATAAGATGCAGCTCTATGTATGAACATTTTGGTTATATGCGCATGCGCTGTGACCAGCTGTGGCCACATCGCTAAATTTGAACCGAGTAAAAATACGCCACTGTAAACTCAGCAAACGAGAATGGATTGAAATGAATTGAAATGGATTCAGATTTTCAGAAATATTGATTCACGAAAATGTTAAAATGTTAAAATGAATACTTTTCAATCCTGAATGCATTTTATTCATTTATAGGAATTGCATGGAGCATATCTCTGCCTTTCAATCTAAAAATAATATTAGCTTTTTCTGTGCACACAAACATAATTGTGAATACTGTTCAGTTAAAAATTTTGAATAGGAAATACAGTTTTTCAATCCAATTGAATCCAATTATTGATTGAAATTTTTTTCTATCTAAATGCGTATTTTAAATAGCAAACTTTTTTGGATTTAATTGGATGCAATTGGATTGAAAAATTGCATTTCCTATTCAAAATTTTGAATTGAACAGTATTCACAATATACCGAAAAAGCTAATATTACTTTTAGATTGAAAGGCAGAGATATGCTTCATGCAATTCCTATAAATGAATAAAAATGCATTCAGGAATTGAAAAGCATTCATTTTAATATTCGTGAATCAATATTTCTGAAAATCTGAATCCATTTTCAATTCGTTTCAATCCATTCTCATTTGCTGTAATTATTATAAAATAGGTAAAAGCTGCAAAAGAAGAGTTAAACAATTAAATTATGCAAGAAATGCAAAGATCATAGATTTAGTGTCGGATTGAATTAGTAAATTGTAAATGCTATTAGTGTTACTATAATAGTGTTATTTTGTATAGTAGTTCAGAACTGTCTTCAAAAAGAATAGACTTTTTGATCCAATAAACCAACTATTAGTAACATAACTTTAATAATCTAGACAGAATGTTATCAAGATATCGGAAAAGTGATAGAAAGCAATTCACTTGGGAGCAAATGACAAAGGCCAAAGAACATATTGCTGCAGGCTACAGCATAAAAGCAACAGCTCGATTCGTGGGGGTATGCGAAGCAACATTAAGAAAGAGATTAAAAGAAGTAAGTTCATTTTATTTACATAGACTTGTCTATGCACTAAATTAGTAATTATTTTTGCTTAGCCTTAGACAACTAAATTAGGATATTTAGATAAAATTTTATGTCATTTTCTTTTCAGGAGACAACATCATTAAATTTAGGCAGGTTCAAATCAAGCTTTTCTACAAAAGATGAGAAAGCTTTGGTAAAATTGGTCAAAATCATAGATGATACATTTTATGGAGTGTCAAGAAAACAGTTAATGGCAATAGTGTATCAATATGCTGAACATAAAAATATTTTCCATAATTTTAACCATGAAAAAAAGATGGTAGGAGAAAAATGGATTAGAGATTTTTCTGTGAAATATAGATTAACTTTACAACGTCCAGAGAAGTTTTCAGGAGGTGTCCTTAAGTTCAACAAGGTTCAGTTTAACAAATTCCATAATAATCTAAAAAAGATTCTAGAAGAAAATCCTGAACTTAATGCCAGTCGTATTTATAATATGGATGAAAGTAACATATCAACTATTTTTACTAAACTTCCAAAAATAGTGTCACCTAAATGTAACTTAGAATCAAAAGTAGTGTCTCTAAATCGTATACAGTCACTAACTGTAGTTTGTTGTCTGAGTGCCGCTGGCTACTACGTTCCACCTGCTCTAATTTTTCCTCGAAAAAAATATAAGCCAGAATTTTGTAAGAGAGCGCCACAGAATACTTTAAGTATGGCATCTGATTGTGGATCTATGAATTCAGAACTATTCGTATCCTGGTTAAAACACTTTACAAAATATGTGACGGCATCTCAAGATAGACCGGTATTACTCATATTGGACAATCATATATCACACTGCAGTTTGCCAGCAATTAATTATTGTCAAGAGAATGGCATCATTTTGTTATCTTTACCTCCATACGCTAGTTATAAATTACAACCACTTGAAATAGCTTGTTTTGGATCATTAAAAAAGTTCATGGCAGAAGAATGTAATCGATTGATATCACAGCACCCCGATCGGTCGATAACAATTTGTCAAATAGGAGAAATTTTTCGTACAGCTTATCACAAGACTGTTTCTATTGACAAAGCAATTAACGCGTTTAGAGATACAGGAATTTTCCCCCAGAATCCCTCTGTTTTTCGAGAAGACTTCACATCAGTCTCATTTACGAACAGACAATCAGTCGAGCATCTTGAAGATGATGAGTTGGTAAGTCTGGAGACATGATAGGCGTGGTAAGCCTTAAGCTGTAAGAAATACAGTAATCACAGTCGATTATTCTCTTCATCTAGCTGTGATTAATCAATATCGTATGGCTTAAAATTTACTACAACGGTTGTACTCAATGCACCTTTTTATTTATTGAGCTTTTTCTGAATTCTAATTTTTTTAATATTTAAAATTTTATAGAAAAAAATATTGGCGTTTAGAGAAATAAAGTTTATCTTAAAGAGAGGAAAAAGTTAATATATTAAATTATAAAAGTAATTAGATTAAGGCCATAAAAGATACCCAAGGCCGGCCGTTTTTAATAATATCTCATCGATGACTAATTATATTAGACTTGGAAAGTTCGTTTCAAGTTCTTTTAATATTTAAAATTTTATAGAAAAAATATTGGCGTTTAGAGAAATAAAGTTTATCTTAAAGAGAGGAAAAAATTAATATATTAAATTATAAAATTAGATTAAGGCCATAAAAGATACCCAAGGCCGGCCGTTTTTAATAATATCTCATCGATGACTAATTATATTAGACTTGGAAAGTTCGTTTCAAGTTCTTTTAATATTTAAAATTTTATAGAAAAAATATTGGCGTTTAGAGAAATAAAGTTTATCTTAAAGAGAGGAAAAAGTTAATATATTAAATTATAAAAGTAATTAGATTAAGGCCATAAAAGATACCTAAGGCCGGCCGTTTTTAATAATATCTCATCGATGACTAATTATATTAGACTTGAAAAATTCGTTTCAAAGTTTGCGAAAGTTGATGATTTTAACATGGAATACTACCTTTATTTTGGATCGTTTCGAGAGCTATTGATGAAATACTTCTGAAGGACTTCATGCGCAAAAATCCGCAAATATTATTAAATCCGTCATCATACAAATCCGCTTTGCACAAATCCACCGTGCAAAATTATCTGACGATGCTGAGTAAATAGCTACGGTGATCATATTTAGAGAAAATAAAGGACCTAAAAATTTTAGTACTTTATTTCTAAATATTTCCAAACTAGTTTGTGGCTATCAGAAGTTTGCGCACTAATTTCTGAAATTTTTTTGCGCAGGTGAGATAATTCTCAAGTAAAGCATGAGTCGTTATAAATAACATCAAAATAATTGCAAATTTGGTTATTAAAAGTCACTTCAATTATATTATTCACTAATTTTGATATCACTTTGGTGTAGTGTTGGGCACAATCGATTAATTTATTAGTTAATTGAAATAATTAACTAAAAATTCAAAATATACATATATAATCATGATTAATGTAATCAATTAATAAAATCAATTGTCAAACAATTTTATAACAATTTTAATGATTAATCGATTACGTTCCAGCTTGACTAAAATAATTGATTAAAAATGATATATGATCACGACTAATTTAATCAATTATTAATCAAATAAAATACAATTAGTTAAAAAAATAATAATCATTAATTTTCAATCATTCTTAAAAAATTATATTCGTAATTTTTACGATCTATAATATTATTATAGAACGTGTTTGTTATATTGAAAAGCTATTCAAATCACTATTGGTCGATAAATCGTTTTATATTTTTATGGAAAGAGATTGCACATATTAATAAAATATAGTTTTCTCTTATAAATAATCGATTAATTTTATTTATAAAACTGAAACATTATAACACTAATGCTAATAGAAAACTAATATATTTTTGGCAATAATATCAAAATAATGCTATGCACATATCTGTTTTAGAAAGGAAAAATATTAAATAATTAAGTAGATTTAATCTGTGCTTAATTAAATACAAATCATTAATAAATAATGATTAATTTTTTAATTTGTACCAAATAATTTCAATTAATCAATTGAATTAATCACAGTAATGATTTGTTTTAATCGATTAAAATTGCAGATTAAAAATTTTTTAATTGATTAATACCTAAGATTTATTTGAAGACAACTAAAAAATTTTAATCATTTACTATAATCAAGAATTAAACTTTTAATCATTAATCTATTGAGTAAATTGATTAAATTTTTCTCAACTGCTTTGTCGTTATTGTGATTTTGTCAGTTGTTTCCGTAAACATTTATACTCATTAGTATGACATTTGAGGGGATATAGTCATCACTATAAATATCTCATAAAATATTGCATCTTTGATTTACATAAAAGGTTTGAAACGAATTTTCCAAACAATCTAATATATGAAAAATCTCTTTTACAATCTTATATTGTATTTGTCATTCTAATAACATTTTTCTTTAAATGCAATCCTATAAATTCGGCCGAAAACTAGATGATATATTAAATTTTTTAGCCTAAGAAATTTCTTGGTCGTTTTTTAAAATTTCTGAGCTTTAATACAGTTATTTACGAAGTCTGTCCCAAAAGTATCCAATCTCTGCGTATATCTTTGTCCTTGTCATTCTCTCTCTATTGTGGAAAAGACGTTCAGTATTTGGGGTGTGGACTTTGAGAAGTACTCCCACCAAGCGGCACGACTAAATAGTTGTTCAGTCGGCAACAGTTCGTAGTTGTATGAGTGTCAGAAGCTTCGACTGTCGCATTTCACAATGACTGAACGGATGGAGCAGAAAGTTTACATCAAATCTTGCCAAAAACTTGGCCATACATGTTCAGCGACAATCGACATTATGCGCAAAATTTATGGTAACAACTCTATGAGTGAAACACAAATAAAATGGTGGTTTAATCGGTTCAGAAGTGGTCGTGTCTCAGTGGACAATCATCGTCGAGTCGGTAGACCATCAACGTCGAGAACAGCGACGAATATAGAACGTGTGCGAGTTGCAATCAAGGAAAATCGTTGTTTGACTTTGCGACAATTAGTAGAGAACCTTGGAATTCCAAAAACTACTCTTTCTCGAATTTTGGTTAAAGATCTTGGGATAACTCGCGTGTGTTCAAAAAAATCCATTCCAGAAGCGCTGAAGCAAAATCAAAAGGATTTTCAAAATGAAGTTACCAAAGACGTCTTGGAATCCAATCAAAAAGATTCTGAGGTGCATAAAAGAGTTATTACAAAGATCTTATATATATGAAATTTGAAGGAATAAATCGTTGAAGGAATAAAACTGGATGCGATGTGGGAGCTGTTAGCTATCACAAAAAATGATTTTCAGTACCATTTAAAGAAGTGGATGGACTGCTGGAAGGTTATTGCTTCGAAAAAAGATTACATTGAAGATGACATTGTCATATCACTCCTTAATAATGTTTTCTCATGATATAGACGCATATAAAGACAGAGGCCTGGGATACTTTTGAGACAGACTTTATACAGTTTTTTTTATTAAAGAAAATTATTTATTAAATTATTATTATTATTTTTATTTTTTTATTTTTGCGATGAAATCTGGTGTATGTTTTATGGCTAAAATCTCCAAATTTGAATTTGATTGAATAATTAGTTCTTGAGATATACTGTCCAACTTTGAAAACGTCGTTTCAAGAAAAAAGCATTAAAGTTTGCAAAATGATTTTAATGATTTAAACAAATTTATTATTCCAATTTATATTTATTTGGTTACACAAAGACCATACAGTGAGCCTTCCATTTGCTCGTACAGCTCTTCTCTCGCATATGCTACTTAATTCATAAGTAGACATCGGATTTTTATGCAGATATCTTTTGCAGACATGCACAAAATACAAATTTGCATAAATATGCAAATATGCACAATATGCACAAATAAATATGCATTTTTAGTGCTTTTTTAATGAGATTTTCTATTTTTATGTTATTTTCCAATCTGCTTTCTAAAAAAGTATGAAATTGCATAAGAATCTGATATCTATTCAAAATTGCCTTCTTATTTTCGATCTTATATAATTTTGATTTTAATTTCTTAGTGCCATGCTGCAAACTGTGAGCCTCCAGTAGAGTGCTTGGAAACCACCTTCCACAGTTCGTGTAATGGAGTTTCTTCGTCTCCAAGTAATTAATTCCTTTCATTTCTTCCGTTGATTCAGTTTCGTCTCTAATTGAAATCAAGGATTTGTTTAGAGATCTTTCGAATAAACAAAAATGATTGAAAAGTTAGATGTTAAATTTGTTGTTTTAATTATTTGAATTTAAAAATCTATTATAAATAAATAACTAATTGGTGCTGAACAACAATTTCGCGTCAATTACAAATTATAACTTTATTTTTGTTAATTATCAATTATAATGAATTTTAAGTGAAATAATTATTTTAATTTTCTTTTAAGTTCTACTATTATACTACAAATCTAATATTTATTAACTTTAGTTTTTACTAACTTAAGTTACACTAAAAAAAACTTATAATATATTTCCAATAATATTAATTATTTTGATGTCGTATGTTTTCGAACTTTCAATCTTCCTTAATTTATTCGTTCTCCTTATTCACATATCTTTGAGATAAGGAAAGATAAGTAATTCTCATGTATTCTTCTTAATAATATTAATTATTTTTATGTCATATAGACCAGACTGAGATAAATTCTTGTGAGGATATTGAAATTAAAACAGATGTATATGCTGATGAGACGATGATAGATGACAGCAGAGTACAGGGATTCGAGAGAGAATTGGAAGCAGATAAGATCCTTGGCTCAGCGAACGACAATGGAAAACTGATGTACTTGATACAATGGTACGTAATATGTCCTACTATCGCGATATCATCACATGTCTCGAATTAGTAAGATGCCTCCATAGAAAATGAGGAAAATCCAAGTTCAGATCCCAGTGATATTTTAAAGAATTCAAGTTAATATGAATTTAATAATTTAAAAATGATTGAAGCTGACTAATGAGTAAGGATAATTGTTTGCGCAGGAAAGGAACAGATGCAGTTGACATGGTGTCTGCCAGTGAAGCCAATGTCAAGTGTCCTCAAATTGTTATCCGATTTTATGAAGACAGAATAACTTGGAAAAGGACAAAAAATAAAACCGTAGTAGATGAGTTTTCTTGAAAGAATCAGGTTCTGCATTTTTTTACCTTTGTTGTGATTTACCTTTGTTGTGAGTGCGGTTAAAGTCTCATTACAAATGCCTTAAAGCATTTCATTGAAAATATAATTTTACTAATTAGCTAATAAAATAATGTTTCATTTATAGTATCACATTAACCGTGCTCTGTATAAAAAATATTTTCGACGTGACTGTTTTATTTCATTTTAAACACAATATATGTTTCTTTTTTAATATTATTCATTTAATTCCTTTTAATATTGATGAATTTGACTTATAATTTAGCAGTATGTCTAGTCTTTTTGCTGCATGTTTTATTATTCTTTGCAACATTTTCTGTGTTTCTTCTTATGCAATTCTCTGCTATCTGAGACAATAAATAGAAAAAAATATAATTTTATAAAATTCTATTTGAATTTTTATCCTGAATATGTATTCGCTTATCGAAATGTTTTGGAGGAAATTATTTTTTAATAAAGAAAATATAATATACAAAATAATTTAAAATTGATAATTGGATAATTTAAATTTTTGCTTCGCATACACTGTATAGAAAGGGATGTATAACATATACGATTGACAACATATTTGTACACATACTCACAGAATCAGGATTAGTAAGAATAATGTTATTTTAAAATTAAATTAAGTTAAAATTAATAAAATGAATTGGAGGACTTATTTTGTAACTTTTTAACAATTGTAACTGTGTCCAGTCATTAAGAGTTGAAGAACAGACTTAATTGTGTATTAAAAAAGTAAATATTTAATATAATGCTCCTTCTTTTTCTATAATTTTGTAAATTTATATTTTCATGCATAAAATATATATATATATATACTCTGAAAGGAAAATTATCCCGTTTTTTCCTTTCAAATTTTTTTATGTTCACTTTTTATGTACACTTAAAAAGGAAAAAGGTAATAAATTTTGAATCAAGAACTATTCTTTGTCATTTAAATTATATAAGAGAATAATTTATGTTTTAGTATTAATTAAAACCGAAAATATACAAGGATAAGCAAAAGATTAGATTGATGTTATCATTTTCTAACTTACCTTTTTGTATATTACATAAACAAATTTTGAAATAAAAAAAAGGAAATAGAATTTGAGCAAGATCAAGCAATAAGATCAAGTCGAATCATGCATTTTTCGTAGAGAAAGGTGATGTACCTTTAACTAATTTTGACATTTTTTTCTTGTGCAAGTTATATTTGGATGTCTAAAAATTCAAAAATTCTAAAATATTCTTTGAAGTGTTGATACTAACATATATTTTTTGTAGATTTAAATTATTACCTTTTCTATCTTTTTTCTATCTTTTTTAACATTAGAAAAAAAATTGAATTTTGGTCAAAGATACAACACCCATATTGTACCAGCTCTGACCAGGGAGTGTTGTATCTTTAACCAATGTATGAAAAGTGTGTATAAGATATTCAACAAAAATTTAATTTTATTTATATTTTTAATGTCTTTTTACATCATATATAACTTTATATATAAAATATATATAAAAATATTCTTTATCATATAAAGACGCAATTTTCGTTTTTGTACGAAACGATTGAATCTGGCAAAAATAATGTCATAAAGTGAAATATTAAAGTTGATCTCTGTTAGATTAAAATGCTTAAGTTTATTCTATTTACAATGTGCATTTTGTTTCTTATTTCTTGCTTTTTATTATTTTTTACATCTTCTTGCTTCTTATCCGGTTTTTTGTTTTATGTCGCCCGAGATAAAAGTTAATGAACTTCGAAAGAAACAAGAAATACATAGCAAGAAATGTGATCGATAATGGTTGCAAAGAAGAAAAAAGCAAAAGGTAAAGAGCATATGTAGAATGGGCTTTATATTTAGGATATGTTATGGGTTGCGTTCAGCGAACTCTTTTTTTTCTTTTTCTTTATTTATTGGCTCTTGCCTCCAAAGAAAATGATAGGAGAACGATACAGCCAGATCACGTCCAAATTTAGAGACCGAGCGGTTATGTTGTAAACGGGCACAAAGGATATATTAGTATAGTGCACCAGAGGTGAAGCAAGACACTCGCATCGACAATGAGACGGAATGCCGAGCATAACAATGGCTCCGCTGGGCTCATGTTCAGATTCCCATTCGGTCGTGTTATCCTTGTTTAACATTTGCTAAATAACATGGATACCTAGGTGATACTAGGGTGGAAATCTGAACATAGCTTAAGATAGGAGCGGGAAAGTAAGGGCAAGATAGGCTTGCGCCTGCGCAACCGTCTCGAAAAGGCGCGAAAAGAAATATCGAATCAAAATGGTTTATTGTTTCACTAAAACTAAAAACTAATCAACAAAAGTATTCCAAGAGGTTCGAAATAGCTTGTATAAATTTAGAGTGACAGTTCACCTCGTCCGAGATCGATCGATGAACTGCCGAAGGTAAAGGTAGAAAAGGTATCAGGACACTCGTAAATGATATTATGTAGGGCAGAATATCCTGTAGGGCAAATCCACACGAATATGAGGAATCATCAGTTAAATTTTTGTGAGACTAAAATTAAAGCTATAATGATTACATCGCAGTCGATTAAGCATAATGATTGCTTCTCTGGAAATTTTTTTGCGAAAATATCAAGGTTTGGCGGATTTTAGAAATATGTTATCAAAGTAAATATTTTTAATATTGGAAACTCTTCCAAGATATCGATAAAAATCTTCATTATAACGTTAAGTTTGACAACGGCGAAAAAATCCGAATATGAAACTTTGAAATTCGGTTCGATGCTTTGGCAAATGGCTCTCTTGTGAGACGTCGGATTTTTCGTTTCTATGCCGTGGGAAGAGACCCAGATGAATTGTTTCCTCCAGACGTGTTCTAATAAGAGGGATAATTGTACGATATGGAAACCCCGGATAGCCTCCAGGAATCAGTAACAATAATAGTGGTAAACGTGGAAGTCGATAGTGACAAAAATCATATTATAAATGATGAAAACTTTGGCCGAAAAGACTGACGTGTAGGAAGAAAGTTTGTAATGAGGTCGACCTAAAGTTGAGGGGAACAGACAGCAGTCCGACGTAAGTGCTATTGTCAGTTTTTTGAACCATCGATTATAAAATATTATAGAATCGGCGATCAAAATATGAAAAGTTTGAACAAAAACGGACTGAGTGCATTGTTTGAGGAGCTCATCGAGAATATCAAAAGAAGCATTAAGAAAAAAATGAAAAATAGGACAAATGAGAGTGGACTGAAATGAGTATCTATCTAGTCCAGAAGAACAGTCAACACACGAGATTACATGCGAAGAAAAATCATAGCGACCAGAAAGTGGACGCGCAGATAGTTATCCCTATAGATACTACAAGCGAGATCATATAGCTTGTGGAGCTTAGAGACTACTAATGCCCATTTCCAACAATTTTAACCTCGGTTCAACTTACTCTTCGTCTTTTTTTAATTCTAAAGATTAGAAAAAGACAAAGAATAAGTTGAACCGAGATTAAAGTTAATTTAATCTTAGAAATGAGCATAAGATCAGTAATTGAACTAATCTTAAGAAAATAACATGATGTAAGGTGCCGGAATCGGAATCTGAGTGGAGGTTCAATGGTTTCCGCATCACATTAAGAGGAGTCGAAATGCGGTATCCAAAACATAAGCGCAGGACTTGGTTGAATAAACCTGAAGAGCTCTGAGACGATCATTATCGATGAGACCAAAGGTGTGTAGCGTATTCAATGGAGGCACGCAGCAGAGATTTGTAGACAGAAAGTAGTATATGGGGGTGGGCGCCCCATCAGTTACTACGAAGAGATAATTTGGAGAATATATTTATCCTTATTTGTGATAATGTATGTGAGCCGGAAAGTTAGGATCTAGCAGATTGCCAAGGAATTTAACAGAAGAGGATAGGGAGATATAGTGATTATCGTAAGAAATGCGACAGATAGGCAGAGTATTTTTTTTAGAGAACACCATCTATGTTTTGAACGGAGAGATCTCTAACCCGCGAGAAATACCCCGAGGGGTGCAGGGATCGTTCAACAGAGTCGATTGTTCACTCGAATTTGTCAATGAAAAAGATGACAATGTCGTCAGCAAATTGTAATAACTCTGAGGACGGATATAATGCCTTGTTAACGCAAATAAATATTAAAAAGGGTCGGGCTACCGAATCCTGAGGAGTGCCCTTGAAGGAGACGCGAGACTCCGGTGAGAGAGCAGGGAAATTGTGTGAGAAAAAATGAGGTTCCAAATAAAGGAGAGGGGAGAGATATTCAGATGTCAAGTCTTGGGAGAATATGAGGCAAGATATTAACGAAGGAAGACTTGATGTCGATAAAAATCACTATTGTATCCTGTTTCCTAATCCAGAATGAACGCTAGCCATAAATGAAGTGAGGTTGTCTTGACATGATCTAAATTTACCGAACTGATTATTCGGAAGAATGTCAGAAATTGAAAACTCAAGTCAATAGAATCGATTGAGGATCGTATCCATAATTTTGAGAGTACAAGAAGTGAGAGAAATCAAACGAATCCTGTTGCCGTTGAGTTAGGGATTAGATTTGGAGATTAGACCAAGGACCATTGTGTAGAAAAGACAGAACAGCGGAAGAAATTGTTAAGTATCAGAAAAAGATACTCAAGGAATGCAGGAGATAAAACCTAGGAAACGGTAATCAATTCGATTAGGCTCAGGCTAGAGAAAGGTTTGACAGAATGGAGTGCAGCGTGCAATTCGTTAATAGAATAGGGCGAGTCTATCCAGAGAAGATTATCCGAAGGAATATCTGAAATCTCCGTGTATTCAAGGCATTTATTAAGAGTATTGGAGTTGGAGAGAATAAGGCGGCGGAAGTTTAAGCATACGCCATATTTCCGGAGTAGGTGTTAAGTGGTTCCAAGGATTGATAGTATTTTTTCAAGCTACTGCATTTAGCTTTGCGCAGAATACGCCTTAAAGCGGTAGCACACGTTTAATTGTATCAGGGAAATTTGCTTGAAAATTTTAAGGACTCTGCTACGGGCCTTAAGTGCCATAGTGCACTCTAGCATCCAAGGAACCGACGGAGGGCCTTTGTTAGTGAGAGATGAATTGAAAAAGCAGAAACGATTCTGTGTTGAATTAGAAGGCGAGAATCTTTCGAAGCTATTAGAAATCAGTTCAAAGAAAGTATCATATTGAGTGAGAGAATCGTTGGAGTCAATAGAGTCGATGGACTGAGAAATAGTGTGGGCATTGTCGTTAAAATGTTTAACCTCAGATCATTGAGATGAGGTGAAATTAAGCTTGTAAGAGAAAGTCTTAATAGATTTAACTAAATAATTGATCAAGACCTCGAGGGTGATGATCACTTCTGTAAAGATCAGAAAAAATACGTGTGTTGCATAAAGAAGCGATGCTAGGAGAAGCCAGCGTTAAATCAATAGTGGACGGATTTCTGAGAGGAGGAGGAATGAAAGTAGACATGGGGTTGAATAATCAAATGCTGGTCGTCAATACTCTCACGCGTCCAAAGAACGCGTCCGGCAGTGTTCGTTCGAGTTATGCTGCCCATAAATGATGTGGTGGGCATTAAAGTTGTCGAGAATAATGGCTAGATCGTTAGTCCCGATGAAAGATATAAGAATTTAAGAATTGCCCTAAGGGCCTACAAGGCAGGTAGATTAAGGTGTCTGTAAACATCGATGATGACGAGATAAGAGTTGTTAAGAAAGAGCCAAATAGTGACAGCCTCCGTAGTACGATCCAAGTTGGATGAAAGATCCAAGATGGAATAAGCGATAGAGTTGCGAATAAAGTATACCTCTTTTGTCTGTCGTATTCGCGTTAGCACGGACGGATGCAGTCAAATGCGGAAATCGCGGTCCCCCTTAATATATGTTTCAGCTAGGAAGATAACGTATTTTCGATACAACCATATTTTCGATTTCAGCTTTCTTCCCGAGTGCTTCGCAACAGTTCCAGTATAAAAGACGTAAGGAATGAATCCTAATATAATAAAAAACTGAAATGATAAGAGATTATAGTGAATTAGCGTAGATAAGAGACTGCAGAGAGTTGAGAATATTGTACAGCCTGTGAGTTTTTGAGCAATTCTGGAATATTGTTCGCTAATTGAGAAAAAAGAATGCACAAGGTTGGATGAGTTGCAAAAATCCTGTAAGTCAAGAATCATAATGAAGAGTGACATAGGATTCGATGTTGAGGGAGACAGAGCAGAAGGGACATCAAAGGGAAGAGATAGAGAAGTAGGGAGAGGGGAAATGGAGAGGAGAAGAATAGAAGGGATAGGAAGAGAAGAAATGTTATGAGGAGAGAATGGAGAGACCGCCAAGTTGGATAGTCTGCTGTTGGGAGCAAGAAGTAATGAATTGCACAAGTCGCGAAAATCGTTTCTAGGGCTACACGAGTGGTGTTCAGAAGGATTATTCACGTTAGTGCGGAATTCAAGGCGCGGAAATAGAGCACTATCACATTCGCGGACACATTCGTAACTGTGCATGATTGTAGGAGCGTGGAAGAGCGGATTGCGCTGAATCTGCGTATCTGCGATCGTTAACAGATTGGGAATGAGCGAATTCGGGGATGTGTCTTAAGATATCCTGGAGGTTGAGATCTTGATAAGGATGAAAAGCAGGAGGGATAAATGGATTTTAAAAGAGAAAGAAACTCTTTAAGATTAAGAGGATTAAGGGAAAAAGACTTGGAATTGCCGAATTTAGAGCCTCAAAGCATGAAATGTTTTCAGTAGCCATATAGGCATAAATCTATTTCTACTGCACATATACTGGGCACTTGGGGGAGGAGGGAAAGTCCTCGTCGCAGTTGCAGCACGAAGGTGTCATCTGCTAGCGAGGACAGTTCTGAGGGATTGGGATATTTAAGATGTCCATAACGAGCACATCTGGGCTTATCCTTGCAATCAGCATATTTATTATGTGTCCATATCGGAGGCACGAAAAACACATGAATACTCTGGGAAAGTAGAAGAAAACTGGAAAGTTAACGTAGAGATAGTTTATAGAACGTAGCAATAATTGTTTCGCAAAATTTAATCAGGACAGTGCGCGAGGGGGGGGGGGGGTAAAGATCAACTCTCCATTTTTCCGTTTCCTGATATTAAAGCGTTTAGCGGATAGAATCTTATAGGAGGAATTGAATTCTCTAAGAATTCTCTAGGTATCATTTTCAAAGATGTCTAGAAATACATTTTTAACGCCAGTGCGCATGTTCCGAAAAACCGGGATAGAGACAGTAAGTCCATTTTCTGTAAATAGAGGGCCGAAAATTCGATTGGCAGCCGATAAATTTTTAAGGTTGACCGCGACTTTATTACGTCCAAAAAACTTAATATCAGTAATGTCATTACCCACAATATATGCTATGACCCGCGCCACAGTAATCGGTCCCAGATGGATGTCGCCATCCTCGTCCGAGACATGCCGCACAAAAATATATAGAAGAACATCTCTTTCTCCGTAAATAATGCGTTCTTCGTGAAAATCGCGATCTGAGATTTGTGAAGCTAAGGATGTAACTTTGGGCAGGAGCACATCCACCAAAAGCTGTCGTAGGGACGCTTGTTAGATAGAACTTTACGTTTGCACTCGCCTTTCGCTGGCGGGAAATCTCAACAACAGCGGAAGCGGCTGCCGAGGAGAGAGAAAGCCCGCCGCATTTGAAATGACCTAAAAGAACCTCAAAATTATTGCTATCCTTCATGTTTTCCTCACAATTGTTTTCATGTAGAAAAGAAGAAGTACTCGACTCGAATTCGGAATCGTTCTTCAAAGGCGATCGCGAGCGCAAGCGATGGCATGCTGACAAAGATGCAAGAGTAATGAGGGCAGTGTTACTCAGCAAACTGGATTGAAATGAATTGAAATGGATTCAGATTTTCAGATATATTGATTCACGAATGTTAAAATGAATGCTTTTCAATCCTGCATTTTTCATTTATAGAAATTGCATGGAGCATATGCCTCTCTATGTCTTTCAATCTAAAAATAATATTTACTGTTTCTGTGAGTATTGTTCAATTCAAAATTTTGAATAGGAAGTGCAGTTTTTCAATCCAATTGAATCCAATTAAATCCAAAAAAAGTATTCGCTATTTAAAATACGCATTCGGATAAGAAAAAATTTCAATCCATTTAAATCAATTCTCGTTGGCTGGGTATCAGTAATCAGTTGTAGCAACATCATTTATTTCTTCGCAGTTGGCAGGATTGAATCTACGAACGATACTGATATACTTGACTCGCAAAAGAGGCAAGGTTTGCTCAAACTGAGCACACTAGGATATGGTCAACGCGATGCTGCAAATACTTTGAAGCGTTTTTTAATTAGTCAGTTTGTAAAATTCTTTCTTCTAATTGGTTCATCAAATGCTTCAAAGTCACAGCTCTAGTTTGCATCGAAGGTTTAAATCGGATCAGAATGTAAGGCCAGGTTCACATCTTAACGAAAAAAAAAAAGCGAAAAGCGGAAAAGCGGAAATCATCAGAACTCGCGGAAAGACAGAACAGACAAGCGAAATATACCGCCTACTACTATCGCGAGTTCCGATTGGCTTCCGCTTTTCCTCTTTTCCGTCAGGGAAAAGTGTGAACCCGGCCTATGAACCAACCAACTACAATCGAGTATTCCCCTGTCGTTCGGCTGTAAGGGGTACAGGGGAATACTCGACTGTAGTTGGTTGGTTCGTACATTCTGATCCGGTTTAAACCTTCTTCTTTTCTACCTTCGGTAGAAACTAGAGTCCATGTAATCCCTTCCACTATGGTCTACATGGTAAATTTTCTAACCTTAACAACAATAGTACAATTATAGAAGTCGTGTGCCCCTTTGCAGGAATGAGGGGGGGAGGGAGGGTGAGAGTCGTTTGGTATGGACGTCGAAATCCATGTAGAACAGTTATAAAAGTTAACAACAATTATAGACCTCATTTTGCTCTGTGACAGATTTCCTAACCTCAATAGATGCCAACTTTAAGACTTAATATCTCAGTCCGTGGAGCAGAGCAACTCTTTTTTTCTATCAGATTCTTTCATTTTATGCAAAAACGTCGAATAAGCCTAATTTGATTTTGGAGATGATTGCACTAAACTGTATATCACTTTTATACATAAATATCTAAGAGATTTTAAATTCAAATGATTAAAGAAATACAACCGGTCAAAAGAACACCATGTTCCCTAGTATTATTAGTATTTATATAGTAGTTGAGAACTTCTCGAAAAAAGAACAGACCTCTTCAGCAATTATTAATTAAATGACTTTAATAATCTAAGCACGATAGTATCAACATATAAAAAAAAAGAAAAACTGATAGAAAGCCATTTACTCAGAAGCAGTTGACAAAGCTAAAGAACATATTGCTGCAGATCACAGAAGAGCTGCAGCTCGATTTGTGGGAGCAAATGAAGCAACATTAGAAAGAGATTAAAAGCAGTAAGTCCATTTTATTTACGTAGGCTTATTTTTATACTAAATTATTAATTTCTGCTTAGACTTAGACAATTAGATTATATTTAGATGAAACTTTATGCTAGTCTTTTCAGGAAATAGTATCATTAAATTTTGGCAGATTTAAACCAATCTTTTTAAGAGAAGAGGAGGAAACATTTTTGGTAAAATGAGTCAAAATCATAAATGATTTTATGTAGTGTCAAAAAAACAGTTACACAATTGTGTATCAATATGCTGAACATAACAATATTTCTCAACAATATTTTATAATTTTAGCAAAAAGAAAAAATGGTAGGATAATTGGATCAGATACTTTTCTATGAAATATGGATTAATTTTACAACGAGAGAAGCTTTTAGGACAAGCTTTTAGATTCAACAAGGTTCAATTTAATAAATTCCAACAATCTAAAAACGATTTTGAAAGAAAATTCTAAACTTGATGCCAGTTGTATCTATAATATAGATGAAAGTAACATATCCATAACTGTTTCTCCAGTGACTGTTTCTAATAAACTTCCAAAAATTGTATCATCTGAGCGTAACATCAAGTCTCAAAATTGCATAGAGACAGTAACTACAGTGCGTTGTATGAATGCTGTTGGCTACATTTTACCTGCTCTAATCTTCCCTCGAAAAAGATATAAGCCAGACTTTTGTAACAGAGCATCACCGAATACTTTAGGTGATATCTGATTCTGGTTCCATAACTTCAGAACTATTTATAACCTGGTTAAAACACTTTATAACATATGCAATGGTATCTCGAGATAAACCAGTGTTACTTATATTGGATAATTATATATCCCACTGCAGTTTGCCAGCAATTGATTACTGTCAAAAGAATGGCATCATTTTGTTTCTTCTCTTCCATGTGCTAGCCACAAATTACAACCACTTAAAGTGATCTTTTTTGGATCACTGAAAAAGTTCATGGCAATAGAATGTGGTCGATCAATATCACAGCACTCCGATCGGCCAATAATTTATCATACAGGAAAAATTTTTTGCAGTTTATCACAAGACTACTTCTGTTGACAAAGCAATTAATGCATTTAGAGATACAGGAATTTTCCCAGGAAGCTTCTGAGTAGTCATCATATAACCATATTAAATCACGACGTGAAGTAGAAGTGAGAAATGATACGTTAGTTTTATTATGTGCCATTTATAAATAGTGATAAAAGGCATAAGTGCTTTTATTCAATGCGCATGCAATAGCTTATTTTCATTTACATGTGTCTTTTATCACTTTTTATGATTATTTAATGAGGGATAAGCATAGTTTTCATCCATTTTTACAACAATGTTTTAAAGCAATCTCATCATTTTGTTTTGTCCAAATTATCATTATTTATAAATGGCACGTAAAAATTAATGTATCATTTTTCGCTCCTGACATCACGATTCAATATGTGATGACTATTTAAGAGTCACCACATATTGAATCTTAAGACATTAAGATAATCTTGAAATAAAAACCGACTATGAATACCGCTATAATACTACTAGCCAGCTGTCTTTAACAATATCTCATCTGTGACTCTATTAGATTGTTTGGAAAGTTTATTTCAAAATTGCGCTCTGCGTTACCATGGTAATCGTTAACCGAGGATGGTTCAAACGATTTTGTGTCCCTAAAAATAAGAGAATGTGCAAAAATGGAAAAAATAGAAACTGAAATAAATATTAAGATTTCAAAAATCTGCAGTTACACCTGAATACACAGTAAAATTTTAATAGATTAAAATTTTAATACTCATATTGTGCTTCTAAATAGATCCACAACATTACTTCAAGATGCCAAGAAGCTGTATAAAAATTGATCAATCACAATCGACAATTTGGTTTTCAAATTCGACCATAATTAGTCAATTTCTTACGGCTTGCGGCCTCTTAAAGCAAAATTGTGGATCTAGACTATTTCCTCTGTTGTTCTAAGAATCTGATCATTGCTGTCCTCAGATTTTTATTTATGCTTAAAAAATGGCAGAATCAATTAGATGATGACTGAGTATATGAAAAAATTGAAAATCAGATATAAGTGTAACTACACATACGTTATTTTTAAATTAGAACATTGACTGGACTCTTCTACTCTAATTCTGTTTGACAGCAAACTTCGTCGGATTTGATAAGGTAACGGAATCACAGGCTCAATCACAGGCTCTTTTAAATGCAACTATGTTGGCAAAATCGAGTGAAAAAACGAAGAATCAGATGGATTTTCATAAATGATCCTGCATTGCGTCGAAAACCTTGACTGATATTTTCTCCTATGAAGATGTTTTTATTGATAAAAATCACTCTACACAATTTATAGATAATATCGAAAATTCGAAGCTGGCAATTTCAACGTGGAAAATTATCCTCATGGACGACCTCAGAAGGTCTAACATTTGCAGAGTTTAGCCTAGCAGATCTTTCAGCAATGTTTTATTACTGAAGGACCTCCTACACTAAAATCTGCGAATATTAAAGAACTCGCCATTACTCTGCACAAATCTATCTCCATTGTGACTATTCGAAGTCTGTGCATTAATTTCTGAAATTTTCTTGTGCAGTATTATATCTGAGATAATTCTCAAGTAAAGCACAAGTCGTTATAAATTACATCAAAATAGCTGGATTATGAAATAGCAAAGATTATGAAAAATCAACTTTTCAATTATTCATGACTCATTTTGATGTTATTTGGTGTTATTGTGGCTTTGTCATAAAGATTTGAAATAAATTTTCTGAACAACCTTATATATGAAAGAATATTTCTCATTCAGTCTTATATTGAAATTTGTCATTTGTTCATATAGCTCTTCCGTTACCTTCATATTCATAAGATTGCTCTCTTATTTTCGATCTTATATAATTTTGATTTTAATATACTTAATTTCTTAGTGTTATGCTGCGCTGCAGTAGAGTGCTTGGAAATCGGCCACAATCCATACAATCGAGATTCTTTGTTATCAAGTAATTATTCGTTTATTTTCATTTTCTCTTTATTCTGATTAACGCATTCTTTCTTTATCATATTGTTCTTTTCATCTGATTCTTTCTCTTCCGTTCAATTCGTTTTTTTTCTTGAACTGATTTTAAAGATTTGTTCGCAGATCTGTCGAATAAATGATGAGAAATTGAAAAGCTATTTGTTGTTCTAATTATTTGAACCTAAAAATATACTAAATAAATAATCGATTAGTAGTGGACGAGAATTTTATGTCAACTACAAATTATAATTCTATTTTTACTAATTATCAATTTTTATAATAAATTTTAGGTAAAATAATTTTCCTAATTTTCTTTTATATTTTGTGTATACTACAAATCACATTTTTTAACTTTATTTTTACTATGACTAAGCCATATTACATTTTAAAAAAGAATAGAATTAGAATGATCGGTACTGTCTACTGAATACTTCTCCTAAGTTAATTTCCTTATTTTTATACTTATATTTCCAACGATATTAATTATTTGTATGTGTTTTATGTTTTCGATTTTAGTTCCAATCTTTTTTAGTTTATTCATTCTCTTATTTCACATATCCTTGCGATAAGAAAGAATAAGTCTTGTTTTCTTTTTTATTCTCAGCAATATTAATTATTTTTGTGTCGTATAGGCAAGACCGAGATAAATTCTGATAATATAGAAATTAAAACAGATATGTGTGCTGATGAGATGATAATAGATGACAGCAGAATACAAGAATTCAAAAGAGAATGGGAAGGAGATAAGATCCTTGGCTCAGCGGATGACAATGGAAAACTTATGTACTTGATACAATGATATGTAGTACGTCCTACTGGTTAACGTGATTAGTCATCACCTGCCTCTAATTGGCAAGATGTCTGCAAAGAATAAAAAAAATCGAAGTTCAAATCCTGATCAAGGTGATATTTTTTAATAATAATTTCTTTGCAGTATTTAGATATTTATCCACATTAGTTATATTAAGTTGCTTTTCAATTTAATTTGTTACTATGTAATCCAGCTTTAATCTACAATTGTATGTCAAGATCCATAAATAATCGACGTGTACTTCACTTCAACTAGACATTGTAAAAATGTGTACAAAAATATTATTTAGGCACCAAGACTTGTCTTGATTGAATGTGATCCTCTGCACTCATTTGCATTCATACATCTATTTCTAATGTTTAATACGTATTCAGGAAATGCATAAAGAATTTAAATTGGTACAATTTAAAAATGGCTGATGAATAAAGATAATTTTTAGGGATGCATCGGAAAAAAATATTTAATATCTGATATTATCCGACACTTTTACTATCTGACCAAATAGTCGGATATCATTAATATCCGAGAATATATCCAAAATTTTATATTATTGCTAATTTTTTATTATATAAATGTTTTATAAATAAGTATACATATTCATAATACTATAATATCTTGTATTCTTGTTCCAAATTACAATTTTTTTTCTAGTTTTTTTTAAAGACATGTCCCAGAATTTAGTCAAATATCCGGAAAATATCGGATATCCAACTCGAAAAATTGCCCTCCTGTATATATGATGTTACATTCTTTTCGAATATCCGGTATCCGATAATTTTACGATCCAGTGCATCCCTAATAATTTTGTTTGCGCAGGAAAGGAACGGATGCAGTTGATATGGTGTCTGCCAGTGTTCTCAGATTGTTATTCAATTTTATGAGGATAGAATAACCTGGAAAAGGACAAAAATAAAACCGTAATGGATTAGCTTCCTTGGAAAAGCCAGATTCCACATTTTTTGGAAAATTGACTTTTATTGTGATGTATGTATGCAGTTAAAATCTTATTATAAATGTTTTGAAGCATTTGATTGATCACATATTAGAAAAACGAATTTTGCTAATTAGCTAATGAAAAAATGTTTCAACGCATTTATATAGTATCACGTTAATTGTGTACTCTATATAAAATGTATTGTAGATATTCTCGAAGTGATTGTTTTATTATTTTATTATAAACACAATAAATGTATTTTTTTTAATATTATTCATTTAATTTCTTTCAATCTCATGATTCGACTTCATATTTTAGCAGTATATCTATTTTTTTTAGCTGCATGTTTTGTTCAATATTTTCTGTTTCTTTTTTTAATGCAAATCTGACAATAAGCAGGAAAAAATAGAATTTCACAAAGTTCTGTTCAATTATTCTAAATATGTATTATCGAAATTTTATTTCGAAGAAAAATATTTTCTAGTAAAAAAATTATAATATACGAAATAATTTAAAATTTAAATCGATAATTTATATAATTTAAATTTTCGCTTTGCATATTTTAAGTGCAAAAAAGAAATAATATAAAAAGTATAATTGAAAAGAACAGACTTGTTTCAGGATCTATGATCCACAGCCTTGTTTCATCATTTTATTGTATTAGACGAAAGTCAATACAATGTATATATCATATTGTTTATACACACGGCCTTAAGTTTTATCAGCGTATTTTTCCTATTAATTAATTAGTACATATATTTTTTATATATATTATATATTACATAAT